TGTTATATAAAGGAACAAATTCAACTACATAGAATAAAATAAAGCAAGTCAATTAAAGAGAACGAATAGAAAAATAGAGCAAGTCAATGACACTATCATTTACATATCAGAGTTTCACAAAATAGGGGAATGGGATGAGAACAGTACTACAATATTATATATGAGCAATGAACAATAGTAGTATTATTAGTAGAGAAAAAATGGAGAAGACAGGAGCATAGAGAAAAAAAAAGATGAAAAACTCACTTGAAAATTCTTGAAACACTTGAAAAATCACTTCAAACAATCCTTCAAAATCCGATGGGTTTGGATGTGATTGTTTTATGAATATGGTATTTATAGATAACACTAGAAAGTCCTTCAAAATCTCCCTCACACAACAATCCTTTAAAATCCTTATATTTTTGAATACCAATGGATTGTTTTTAAGTTGTAAAAAATCTCAAATGAATATCCATGATAGATTGACTCACTGCTAATATGTCTGTTGAAGTGGAAGTTGTAGTCATGTAGGAGAATAATAAGAACCAAGTTAATAACATTATGATGCCATGCACCATTATGTCGTAGAAAAAACACTGACTGCGAAACTAAGCAAGATGGGGTTAACGTCGATCAAGCGCTCTTGACGAAGAATGACCATAAAATGAGACAAATTAAATGAACTTGCTGCGGGGTCGTGCCGTATGGAACATGTTGCTACTTTCCTTTCTCTTGTTTAACCTTTTTATACGCAAACCGATAAATATAATAACTTTTAATTATAGATCTTGAAGGCATTAAGAAGCAACTTGGAAAGGTTATCTTGGAAACAAAGTTCTGGGACCTAGTAAGGTAAACTTCTTTTGAAACACTTTTAAGGGACAAACATAACAAGTAAAAATGAAACAAGTTTCTCCATAAGTTAAAATTAGTTTATGCATATATTAATTTATAAAATTCTCTTCTGTCAACTTTTACAAAATCTTATTTTTAATGGATATATAATTTTAACTTACGGAGAAGTTCATTTTCATCTTTCTTTTATTTTTTTTTCCTAGAAGTGCTTATGGACCCTAATACAAATGAAAGAAGTTCTTGTGATGGGAACTCAGATTATTCTCTTAACAAGATTTGGCAAAGGTCCTTCTTTGAACTGGCGATTAATTGTGCAATCTTCCATATGTTGTCAATCTTCACCCAATCAAAAAGCTCGTGAGTATCATGGATGTGAAATTTTAGTTTGTATGTCGCATAAATAATAGAAATTCTTTGTTAACATTCAACCAAGTTTCTGCATTGCAGCATATTACTTGTTTAATGTGTGAAGCTTCTGTGGCTGTTTTTATACATAAGTGTGTTACCTAATCATATTGGCATTGATGATTCTCTGCTGCATTTTTCTAGTACCTTTTTCTTTCTGCACGTAAATTAAAAAACACACACACACAAAATAAGAAAAATGAAGAACAGTGACGGATTTGATGATAAATAATACATTGTTTACCTTATTCATCGCAAGGAAAATAAGTCCTAATATAAAATATAAATTTTAAAATAATTTAAGAATGAAATGAAAATTAAATAAAAAAAAAGTTTGTAAAATTAAGATTTGGATTTAATTTCTAAATTAAACCATTGGATGATAAATTAAGAAAACCAATGTGATCGAATGAGATAGATTCTTCTTTCAAAATAGATCCGATCTAATTTGTGAACATTCTTACTTTAAAGAAACAAAAACAATTCCATGCAAGCAGTTATGATCGACCTTCATAAATGACTTGAGACATTGAGACCAAATGGTATTTGCCATAACATTTCAACCAGTACTTATTTAATGGCAATGAACTTTTCATTTAATTTCAGTTGCACCCAATTAATGAATTGATATCATTTCCACCCTTAGATGCCTCTCAAATCTCAATTTTTCCCCACAAACAACGGTCCTAGATAATCAGCATAGTGCCTCTAAATTTCTCTACAACCTTTGAATTTCATTGCATCTGAAAACCTTGGATCAATGTTGATCTGGTCACAGAATGGAACATCACTGCTAGACTCTAGTTCCATGAAAAATTCCAAGACTCTTGCCTTGATGGATGAATCTGGAACCCTGAAGAGGGGTGCATAAACTCACTTCCACCTATGTTCTTTCCCTGACTTATTTTCAGTGACTTCCACATAAGATGTTATCACACTTGAGAGGGTTTGGATCCTCTTATCTGACACTATTGTGTCCAGTAAAATCTCAACCCTTAATTAAAGATAAGAGAGACAAAAGTATGAAATTTTAATGGTAAATATTTTTACCGAAGAGAATCTAAGTGAAAATTCCACATGAGAGAATTTATTCCCCATCTGAGAAGATTTTCTTTTTGATAATGTCAGGGGTTTTAGGTTGTCAACCCCTTGTGGTACCACAACCTTCACAACAACATTGAATTTGACATATTCCTCTTGTTGCACCTTTTTATCCAACCCCTTTGTCCAATACAGTTCTGCTGCTGGCACTTGGTTTCTGCAATAGGGAGGGAAAAACACCATTACATCAATCACATAGATGTGTAGGACTAATTATTAAAAAGGTCAATTTTTCAAACAGAGATATTCTGAACCAAATATTAATGAAGTGAATACCCAATTGTTTATTTTCTTAGAAGGCCTTCATGAAGACTGAGGGTTGCATTAAGGCTCAATGAGTACAAGGATTTAAGGAGAGGGACTTTTAGTGTTAGGAATACGGAAGACAAAAAATAAATTGGAATCTAAATATGTATTTATAGTTGACCAACCTTTCAAGACCTTCTTCAACGAGGTTTGCTGTAATCTTAAATGAACAGACATATATTTCCCTAAGTTGACAAATCAATCTCTATGTACATGATCAGTTGAGGTGGAATTAGCGGTGAAATCATATTCAACCAGAAAATTGACAGTGAAATCATTGGCACCTATCTCAGCAAAATCATTCAACATTGATCAATTTCCTTTGGAGCAAACCTGTAGTGTCAAAATAGACAAAGCAAGAACCAGCAAAATTAGCACCAAACCATCAGAAAGGGGATTCAGCAGTTGAAAAAAATATTCTAGCACACCTATAAAGACTAGGTGAAAGTGAGTGAAGAACATTAAGATCATGCAATCCCAATATTGAATCATGAATGGATAAAAGCCAAAATGCGTGGATAATCATAAAAGTAATAATGGAATGTGAAACATTTATATGCAGAAACATTTTCAAGACTTTTGTCAAAAAAATTAAGAACTATATATGGGAATTTCCCCTCACCTTATTCCAACAAACAAGAGGAATTTACTCTGACTAGTTTCCTGCACTTAAACAAAGAAGTGCATCATCACCCATCCCAAAATATTTTTTTTCAATCTTCACAGAAATAATTCCTTGCCTTCTCGTTGCTTTCTTCTTTCTTTAAGATCAGACTATGAAGGGAAAAGAGGTGTCATTTATTTCACTTTTGAACCATGAGGCATCATTGTTAAATTCAGTAGTTAGAGACCCTATTTAAATAACCAACGATACCCACAACTTTTCACCTCCAAATACAAACCTTGCCCATGCCTGATTACTGTTGTCAATTTGATACCATCAAAATCATGTGATTCTTCAGTTTTGCCACTCATATGACTCATAATATCAATGAATTCTTCCCTAGTGAAATAGAATATCCATATGTGATCTAGTTCAAACGAGATCAGATCTCTATTGAGAGTTACTGGAATTGTGGTAAACTTGCCACTCCTTTTCTGGAAACCTATCCTCATAGAGGGTTCACATTCATTTCTCAAATTAGTTGGATAAACTGCAAATACTACACAGCAAGCAATGCCAATCCAATTATTGTCATGCAGAGTGGGAGATGGATCTATGCTTATTGAACTACCCACAGTCTGATTGTTGAACCACCTTGGTATCTTACACCCAGGAATAATAATATCAATATCATCAAAGGGGGCAAGGGTTTCTTGATTCACCTGTCATTACAAACAGCTATATCTTATGAGTAATGCTATATTCACCTACAAATCTTCCTACTACCTAATAAGGAAAGTATTAAATAAAAAGTAAATGCATTCAATACTTATGATATGTAGTAGGAGGATTCAGAATTATTCATAGAGAAAAAGGCTATGCACCGATAGTGTATGTCATCCAATTACAAACTATTATATATAATGAGTTTGTTGACTTTTACAATAATTATTTTCAAAGTCACATCAATGATGACTTTTTTTTGTTGACAGTGTAAAAGATTTTACATTGATAATGCATGACCATTAAACCCTTATTCATATCTTAATTTCTACTTCTTTTCACGCACGCATGCATGCAAGTAAATAGGAGAAGGAAGGAAGGAATGAGTGTGCACCTGAAGCATTTGTCTCATCCATGAAAAGGTCATGCTACAACATCTTTCCCTCTCACCCAATTTTGGGCAGTTGAAAATATATAAGCCTGGTCGCCTTATACCCCAAGGAACTTCTCTTCTTATTGGCAAGCAAGTGTGTACAGGGAGCTCAGGCAAACACTTCAACTGTTTGCAATGCTCTAGGTTCAAATATACAAGATTGCAAAGTTCCTTTAGGCTACAAGGTAGTGTAACAAAATCGTTTCCTCCTAAGTTTAATCTTTCTAAACAATGTAAGCATCCAATGCCATGAGGGATTTGGCTTAGATTGCAAAAGCTAATGTCAAGGTCTCTCAAACAACGCAAGGAAGGCAACAAGCAATAAAAGAAACCTTTATCTAATTCCTTTGAACAGCCAGATAGATTTAGATATTCAAGAGAACAGAGGTCCAGTATGCTTTTAGGTATACATGCTAGACTCTTACAGTTTTTCAAATTCAAGAGAATAAGTTTTTTTAGAAGACCAATGGATGAATCTATCTTCTCAAGTTTTGTACATCCTTCAAGAATTAGTGACTCGAGATTTGGTACCTCTCCAAAGCATGGCATCTTGATAAGATTTGTGGAGTGTGAGAGATCCATACATTTCAAATTTTGTAGAGGTTGCTGTAAGGAGCCAATAGTAGGAGACAAAGAAAGAAGAAAATAAGAAATAGTTTACCCTTTTATTTTTTTGTTTGAAGAAAAAATATAGAACAATTTGCAATACCTTTGTGCCTTCCCATAATTGTTTGATGCCACTGTGGGGTAGGATTAATTCAACAAGGTTGTGTGGCCGAAAACTTGATGGCAAAGACATGAAAGGATATTTGTCCCAGAATAGATACTTCAATTCATTGGAAAGATTCTTGAGATTTCCTTGAAAACTCATATCATTCAATACAAGCAATCTAAGGTGACTCATTTTTGACAGTGTTTCAGCCATCAATATTTCCCCTTCTTTTGCACAACGCAAAACTATGGCTTCAGCGTATTCTGTTTCCTAATGCATTGTGAAAAAAGAAAATATTATATCCAATGAAAAAAATTTAATAAAATTGAAACATAAAGATTCTATTTTCAAATAACAACTTTACCATATTCTCCAACATAACATTGTAGAAACATTTGTCAAGCCACAGCCTGCTCCACTTTTGTGGCTCTTTAGGCGAATTTTCTTGAACAATTTTTCTTCCCAACTCTTCCAGCAAATCGTGCATTTCAATCAAATTGTTTGAAATGGTAATAAGTGATTTATCAATGAGAACTCTTATTCCACTATCAGGATGAAAACCACAACAATTTAGAACCTTCTTAACATATTGCTCCTTATTCCCATTGAAAAAACAAGCAATATCAAGAAATATTTCCTTCTCCATTTCCTCTAGTCCATCAAAACTTAATCGCAGCATATTCATGATATCTTTGCTTGGATTTTCTCTCAATCTAGACAATGCACTTTTCCACTCAGAAATATCTCGACCAAATAAAAAAGAGCCCAACACTTTAATTGCCAAAGGCAGACCATTGGCATGTTTTAGGATTGTTAGGCAACTGACATTAAAAGAGAGAATAAAAGGATAGCCAGTGGTATTCAATCTGGATTTTCAAGATTTTTAAAGAGTCCATTAAAATCCACTAATATTCATTTGAGATTTTTTACAACTTAAAAACAATCCATTGGTATTCAAAAATATAAGGATTTTAAAGGATTGTTGTGTGAGGGAGATTTTGAAGGACTTTCTAGTGTTATCTATAAATACCATATTCATAAAACAATCACATCCAAACCCATCGGATTTTGAAGGATTGTTTGAAGTGATTTTTCAAGTGTTTCAAGAATTTTCAAGTGAGTTTTTCATCTTTTTTTTTCTCTATGCTCCTGTCTTCTCCATTTTTTCTCTACTAATAATACTACAATATTGTTCATTGCTCATATATAATATTGTAGTACTGTTCTCATCCCATTCTCCTATTTTGTGAAACTCTGATATGTAAATGATAGTGTCATTGACTTG